GAAGACCTGAAAAGACCCTCACCCAAGGAAGCAGAAGGACAGCTATTAAGGCCCTGGTCTTCATACAGCCAAAGTCACACGAAGCCAAATCAAGGTAAAACCACAACAGAGAGCACTGCACATCTGCCAAAATGCACGCTGGGGGAACGTGGAGGGGACCAGAACCCTCACGCACAACACAGGGCACAAGCGCCAGCACTTCCCCTCTACTCAGGAAAAACAAACGCTTGCAGTAGCTGTGTGTGCCAACAGCCCACACAAGGCACAAGGCAAGAGTTCGCCAAGAGGGAGCTGGTGCTATGGCAGGTTGAGCCACCGCCTGCAGGGCCAACATCCCATGTGGGTGCCAGTTCAAGTTCCAGCTGCTCCACTTCCAATCCAGCTCCCTGTTGATGTGCCTGGGAAAGCAGCAGAAGATGGCCCAAGTGATTGGACCCCTGCACCCATGTGGGAGATCTGGACTTCTGGCTTTGGATTGCCTCAGCTCTGGCCATTGCAGCCACTTGGGGAGTGAATCAGATAATGGAAGACCTCTATTCCTGTCTCTCCCTCTCTAACTACAGACACAACCAAGCATCACTGGACACCCCGCACTGCCTGAGCCTCCAGACCGCCAGTCAGCCTGAGGCTAGCACTCAACCCAACACCATGCTCAACTGCCCAAGGACATGGGGGTGGTGCGAGCAAGGCAGCCACGACTGTGCTGCATCAGACCTGAACCTGTCACCCCGCAGCCCTCCTGCCTTCTTCTGAATGCTCCCATGGCATGGCTGCAGCTCCTCACTCTGCTCTGGTCTCTCACCATGGCTGTGAAGCAACCAACAAGCTCTGAGGGACCATCGCAGAAACAGCTCGGAGGGCTGCACACCAGGCCATGGAGCCCACAGCACAGGCTGTGTACCTACCAGGGGGACCACGGCTGGGTTCCTGGCTTTGGGTAAAGGAGAATGTACCTGCGTATGCAGGGAGGGGTCAGGGTGTGGCCAGGAGTGAACAGCACTTGCTCACGCTCCAGGCTGCTGAGCAAGGACCACTGTCTCAGATGGGGCTGAACCGTGCTCCAAGCTTCCTCGGTGTCACGGGACTTCTCACGTCTGCCTTCTGGCTCTGCAGGAGATCCCGTCTGTGTCTGGCCAGAGACTCTGCCCTCACTCGCTGCTGCAATGCCACATCCACACCTGCCTTCCTGCAAACCTTGAGGTTCTCATGCGCCCTCGACTGCAAGCCCTGTTTTCCAGCAAATAGCTTAGACCTACAACAGTGACCACTGTCACAGGTCAAAAAGCCATGCTTGGTCAACAATTCACTTCACTTTCTCCCCCATGGCAGCAACTACAGGTAGAGCCACTGAAATCTGTGGCAGGATTGAGAGGCCACAAGCCAGGATCTGCCTTCCTGGGTCCTTCTGGGTCCTTCTGGGTCCTTCCTGGGTCCCTGCCGCAGGGACCTGATGAGTGAGCAGGAAGGAGAAGGAGCCACTTGCACCCAGTCCAGGGCACCCTCCACACACAGATCCTCTGTGTCAGCACAGGAGAGGCCAGAGCACGCTGGGAGCTGGAGCTCTGCTTCCAGACAAGGACAAGGGCATGGTCAGCAAGAGGGCACCACCCCTTGTGGCTCTGGCTCCAGGAAGTCTGTGACCATCAGAGACTCACGTTGTCCCGGATGTTGATGTCAGAGCCCTTGGACAACAGCAGCTTCACGAGGTCCACATGCTTGTACTCGGTGGCCCAGATCATGGGTGTCCAGCCTCCATCATCCTAACGGCAGAGAAGGAAACACAAACCTGTCAGGACTGCTCGAGGGCAGAGTAGAAAAGAGAAGTCTCCAGACACTGCCCCAGGCAGCAGCGCGAGGGCGGGGAGCCAGCACAGACCAGTCCCAGCCCCAGCTGCACACACCACTCTGCTCTGCTCTACGCTGAGGGGAGAACACCTCAACACACCCAGACCATAGGCCGCAGGGTTCCTCCATCCTGAGCCCCACAGACCGGGCCGTGCACGAGAGCCAGGGACGCAGTCAGAGCACGGCCGGGGGCTGCCGACAGGTGGACAGATAGGGAGGCCAGCACTGCTCCTAGCAGGGCAGGGCCCAGAAGGCCCGGCTGAGCTGATCAGACCTGTGGCCAGTCGCGGCCTGAGGAGCTGATAGCCCTCCACACTGAGTCCCTTCAGTGGCTCTAGTGATTTAATTCAGTCCAGAAAGAGTTTCCAGGAGCCAAGAGTCATGTCCCAATTCCTCGGCACGCACCACAGCCCACGGCTCCCGAGTGCACACGCAGCCTCCCTACAGATCGGCCACTGGCACAGCCTCACGAGCCGCCTCAGTGAGTAGTGCTGTGATGCAGGGACACCACGGAGCAAGCAGAAGAGACGGAGCCCAGGCCATACTCTAGTAGGGCAGAGGGGCTCAGGACTGGGGAGTCTCGCAGGAGCTGCTGTTTCTGGGACAGAAGCCGTTTCTGGGTGGCATGGGAGCTGGGTCTGAACAACTAAGCAGGAGGCACTGCCTGGGCTAAGGCAGGTGGGCCATGAGGGACAGATGAGCGTGAACACGGAGACCCAGTGAGAGCCGAGACCTGTGTGGGAGGGACCAGTGTTGTCGCAGTACTTTGAAAGCAGGCCTTCTGCGGCCACTTGCTTGCTCACCAGCTGCCTACGGGTGTTGTGTACCACACACTGATCAGGCACCGCCAGTCATAGTTTAAGGCAAACAAGTCCTGTGGCACTGACTGTAGGTTAACTTAGATAGGCAGACACACATGGAGGCTGGGGCCGGCACTATGGGGACAAACAGAGCGAGGAGGAAGCGAGTGCCACAGAGGGAGGGCAGGGGCTGTCCTGGACATGCAGGTACGACATCCAATCAAAGATCTGGGGGGTGAGCAACACAGGCAGCCATGAAGGGAGCAGTGGACTGCCAGGCTCAGTGAGGTGGCCACACAGCAGAGTAGGCAGGTAAGGAGGGAACTGGGGAAGACGAAGCCTTCCAGGGCCTCGTATGGTCCGGAGGTGACCATGAGCAGGAAGAATGGAGGCCACCATGGGGTGGGCATGGCTGTACCTGGCAGTTGACGTCCATTTGTCCGTTTGAAAGCAGATACTGAACCACATCATAATGTCCCTTTTTGGCAGCCAAGTGCAAACACGTAGAGCCCTCTGCATCCTGTAACACAAAGGCTGTTTTGGTCCAGAGAACCCACACTCATATGTCCACGTGGAGGCCATGTTCGGGGCCTTAGGGAACCGTTCTTACGACAAGCTCTTGTTGCATGATGAGGAGTTTGCAGACTGAGGGGGCAGCATTCCCCAAGGCTACACGGCCCCAAGGGCATAGCCAAGAGCCAAGCCCTTATGCACTGCACTTCTGATGCCAAGACAGAGCCTTGGGTGGTGAAAACCATTCTACCTTCAACATAAACCTGCAGGTGCAAAGATGATGACCCCGGCCGGCACCACGGCTCAATAGGCTAATCCTCTGACTGCGGCACCAGCACACTGGGTTCTAGTCCTGGTCAGGGCGCCAGATTCTGTCCCGGTCGCTCCTCTTCAAGTCCAACTCTCTGCTATGGCCCAGGAGTGCAGTGGAGGATGGCCCAAGTGCTTGGGCCCTGCACCAGCATGGGAGACCAGGAGAAGCACCTGGCTCCTGCCTTCGGATAGGCGCGGTGCGCCGGCCACAGCATGCCAGCCGCCATGGCCATTGGGGGTTGAACAACGGCAAAAGGAAGACCTTTCTCTCTGTCTCTCTCTCTCACTGTCCACTCTGCCTGTCAAAAAAAAAAAAAAAAAAAAAAGAGATGACCCCACAGGTTCCTGCCCTGTGGACTGGGCAGGACCAAGGGACAGCCCCGGCTTCTTGTCTCGGCCAATGAGCAGGGTGAGCGGCTCTAACAGTGACCCCAGGGGCAGCTGCCCCGTGAGTTGATAGCCACACAGCACATTTGGTAACAGTGCACAAGATTTAGTGACAGACATCCACATGTGGCAGAACGTAACAGTATTTGGAAGAAGCAGCAACCACGTCCCGGCCATCTGCCTACTTCTGTTTCCTGAGAGTGCTGTGAGAACCTTGTCCTTGCTTCTACCAGTGTACCTGAGGACAATCAAATTTCTCAAAACAAAAAGACAGACATGGCGGGGGGCGGGGGGGGGGTGGTTGATGTGGCACAGCAGGTAAAGCCACCACCTCCCATGCTGGCATCCATACAGGCACAGGTTCAAGTCCTGGATGCTTCTATTCCAACCCAGCTCCCTGCTAATGTGCCTGGGAAAAGCAGCAGAAGGTGGTCCAAGTGTTTGGGCCCCTGCCATCCATGTGAGAGCCCTGAATGCAGCTCCTGGCTTTGGCCTGGCCCAGCCCTGGCCACTGTGTCCATCTGGGCAGCAAACCAGCAGATGGAAGATCTGTCTTTCCCTCTCTGTAACTCTGCCTTTCAAATAATAATAAAAAAAAAATCACAGGGAAGTCAGGTCAGGCAGTCCCAGGAGAAGCAGGGATGGTCAGAGTGGTGCGGCTATGGCAGTGACACTGGGCTGCACTGTTCTGAGTTCTGTCACTTTACAGATTTCAAAGCATAACCAGACCTCACACACCACTGCTCAGAACTCTGGCCTCTCTCAAGAGCCTGCACTTGGCCCACACTACTGGTGTCCAGACTGTGACAAAGAAAAGGGTGTGCTTATTGGTTCAAAGGTTTGCCTCAGGGCCAGCACTGTGGCATAGCAGGTAAAGCCACTGCCTGCAGTGCAGGCATCCCATATGGGCGCCAGTTCAAGTCCCAGCTGCTCCACTTCCGGTCCAGCTCTCTGCTGGGATAGCAGTGGAAGATGGCCCAAGTGTTTGGGCCTCTGTACCCACATGGGAGACCTGAAGAAGCTTCTAGCTCCAGATTGGCATAGCTTCAGCCATTGCGGCCAATTGGGGAGGAAGACCTCTCCTTCTCTCTCTGTGTAACCCTTTCAAATTAATAAATAAATCTTAAAAAAAAACCTTAACAAAAAAAAGAACATCTTCAAGTGTCGTCTGTTGCCTGGACAGGCTGCAGTCGGGATGGTGGGAACAGGCACACGGCTGGAGGAGCCTTTGTGGATGAGGCCAGAGGTGTGCTGAGACCTGTAACACGAGGCAGGAAAGCAGAATCCTAGAAGAGGCCTGGCCTTCTCGGAAGGAGGACAAAGAGAACCTACAGAAATCGTAGGGAAGCGGCAGGGCGGGCTGAAGGTAGGGAAAGGCCGCCATCCAGTCCATCCAGGGGAGGCAGCTGTGATAATTTCAGACACAAACCTCACGAGGTCACGATCCTACCATCCTCCAGGAACACCCCACAGACCCCAGCGCCATTTTGTCTCCCCACTTCCCCAGAGGCAGTTACCATCCTGAACCCATCATCTGTCAATCAGATGTGTCTCCTGTCTGTCACTGTGCATGGGAAACACACGATGGCTGTGTGCTGCAGAATGGCCCTATCACAGGGCGCCGTCTGCTGACATCTCCTCGGAGAGCAGACAGCGCTTGCTCATTTATTTTGACAGACAGGAAAGGCTCTAGTTTACGTAATGCTAGCAGAGAAGGACTTACTTGTTCAGTGCACCATGCGTGGACACGTCTCATCTGTGTGTGTGAGGCTGCCGGTGGTGTCTCCCAACCCTGACAATGGCTGCACCTCAGCTGGTGTGTGGAAACTGCGGCAGGACAGCCCGCACCCCGCCCACCACAGTCAGGAAGGGTCCTCAGCTGAGTGAACAGAAAGCGCTGGCCATAAAGTGGCGTCTCGACAGGTCCGGAAGGCCAGGCGCCTTCTCACACGCAGGTCCCCTCCTCCAGGAACTTCTGGCTTATGTCCATGTCGCTATCCAGTACCCTTGCAGGTTATTTTATTCATGAGTCTCCTCTAGTTTTGGACATGAATCTCTTGCCAGCATGTTGCTATACCGCCTCTCACTTTGTAGCCTGCTTTTTCACGTGTTTGTGATGCCTTTAAACAAATTTTCTGACTCTGTTTCTGTTTAACTCTAACTTCCAAGGCGCCTGAGTTATTATGTCTTAATTAAGAAAGTCCTCCCTATAGTGCAATCACAAGGACACTCTTTCTGTAAGTACTGCCCCCTGCAACCAACCGTCACGCCGGCCCCAACATCTGCTCCCTGCCTCAAGTGCGTGCTGCAGCCACAGGTTCTGCCTTCCTCCCAGGCTGTGCAGTCTGAGGGCCCAGTGGGACACGCTAGCCTGTTTTAAAGCTGGCACTCTGCTGTTTTCTCTTTGTCCGTAAATCTTCCCTCGTTTCCTTGATTCTCAATGGACAAATCCTGTTTCTGAATTCCACCTCCTGAACGAAGCTTTTTCCCTGAGAAGCTGTATTTCTGTGTCCTTGGTGCTCTCTCAGGAGTCCAACCTCTCTGACTTCTCAGTCGACTGGCATTTCCTGCAGGGAATCCTTCCTACAGCACCCGTCCATTTGCACACTGCCCTGCTCTGGGCTGCGGGGTCCGATCTTCTCTTCAAGATGTGCACCTCTAACGTCACCTCTGCCTTACACAGCCTTGCCAAAGAAAACAACTCTGTGTGTGCCACTTCCCTCGTGTGAACCCTCCGACAGGCCCGTCTGCTCCGTTACCCGACAGGTTTGAATTAATTCACCCTCTTTCTCTGAAGGATGTTTGTGGGATGGACGCTCTTGGGGTTCTGGTTCACCACAGTGGAAACTCCCTCCCGAGCCCCGGCACGGGCGGCTCCTGCTTGGCTGCTGTCGGGAGCTCCTCCTCTCTGTTCTGAGGGGGCGTCGCTAACGCTCCCCTGCTCAGCCTGCTCCGTTTCTAGGATCTCGACAGTGTTCGTCCCCGGATCTGGGTTGTTTATGATCCTTATTTCTTCAGCACACTCTTGCCACCAGGCACTCTCCAGCCCTCTCGTGTGTGCTTCTGTGATGTCAGTGTGATGTGGTCCCACAGCTTGTTTGCAGCCTTCACTGCTCTCGATTCTGCATCATCAAATCTGTCCAGCCTGTCCATGAATTTGCCTCAGACACCTGCTCCACCAGCACCAGCACAATACCACACAGCTTCCAGCCTCAGGAGGGTCCTGGACAGCCCTCTGCAGGATTTGCTTTTTAGTGGTGCTCAGCTTTGGCACCAGCCAGCAGGGTGCTGGGTAAATATGGAGCTCACCCCACTCCCCACCACAGAAAGTGTTCCTACCCACCTTAATCAGTTGTTGTAAAAAGTTAAAGGCTTCAACGCCAGCATCCCATACAGGCGCCAGTTCTAGTCCCCGCTGCTCCACTTAAAATCCAGCTCCCTGCTGATGTCCTGGGAAAAGCAGTGGAAAATGTTCCAAGCACTTGGGCCTCTGAACCCATGTGGGAGACCCAAATGAAGTTCCTGGCTCTTGGCTTTGGCCTGGCCAACGTTGACCATTGTAGCCATCTGGGGAGTGAACAAGTAGATGGAAAATATCTCTGCTTTCCACCTCTCTGTAACTCTTTTTTGTTTCTCTTATTCATTTAAAAAAGTAAAGGCTTTTATATCTCAAAAGCTAATAAAAACAAAGAACCAAATGAAGACTTGGAAAATATTCATAACATATGCAAACAGATACAGAAAATGCTGAGCCTGGGGACATATGTGGTCTGCTGGAGAAACTGCACCTTGTTTCAGAGAGGGGAGTCTGAGTCCTGGCTAGGGCTCCACACGAGGGAAGACTCAGACAGTTCCCAGTTCCCAGTTCCCAGATTTGCCCAGCGAGCACTGCTGTGGGCATTTGGGAAGTGAACCAGCAGCTAGAACCTCAGAATCTGTCTCTGCCTCTCAAATTTAAAAAAACAAACTGACTTGATGTCAACAAGAGCAAATTACAATACAAACAAACAAAAACAAACAACTAAAGCCAGAGAGCAGCTTACAGGATTGCTATCACTGAACCACATCATGCAGCAGTGGTCAGAGTATGCCACGTGCTGTGTCCCAGCAATTCTACACCCACAACCAGCCTAAGGAGTCAAGCAAATGACTCATGCAAACATGTAGCTATGAAAATGTTTATGGGTGCAACGTTTACAATAAAGGTGAAAAATAGGTAAATGTTAAATTAAATGCAAATTTGCGATTATATAATATCATGAAATACCAAGATAGCTACCTGAAGCAATGATACAGAATAATATTTAATGATGTGGAAACATCATAAAAATTTAACTAGATGTGAAAAAGAAGACAAATTAAAGATCATGGCCATTTTTTGTTTTGTTGAAAAAAAGGTGTAATAATGTGAAAGACAAGAATTTTAAACTATTTTTATTGCAGTAATCTATGGCATTTGATTCGCCATTTTAACCACTTTACGTGTAGAATGCAGTGACATGAACTCCATGTGCAATGTTGTGCAGCCACCATCACTATCTGGCCCCAAACAAAACTCTGTGGCCACTAGGCAGCAGCATTCCTGCTCCTCAGCCCCACTCTCAGCCCTGGCTCTGCTTCTTTTGGGAGCTCACCCAGATGGGATCAGACAAGGTGTGCTGCAGTATGTGTGACAGAATCTCACTGCACCTTGCAGCTGAATAAGCCTAGTGAGGAATGTACAGGCCACACTTCCTCTACCTCCACCTGCCATGGACACCTCGCTACCGTGAACAGCGCTAGGGTAAAAACTGCTCCGCCCACACTCGAGACGTGGGACTGCTGGATCACAGGGTAACGTTTAGTTGCTGGAGAGACTGTCACCCGTGTTCCACAGCAATGGCAGCAAGTTATATTCTACCAGCAACGAACAGCCATCCTACAGTTCCAAAGCTCTGCATTTCCCCAATGACCATCAGTGATGACCACCATCTCCACATGGAAACTGCATACTTGTGTATCTTCTTTGGAGAAATATCTACTTTGCCCATCTTTTAATTGGACCACCAGCTTCTGTTGTTGAATTTTCAGATTTCTTTAAATACTCAGGATAGTCACCTCTTGTCAGACACAGGATTTACAGGTTCTTGATCCTAGTGGTAGAGTTTCTAATTCTGCCAAAGTTTATCTTTTATTCTCTTTGCTTTTGGTGTCCTATCCAAGAAACCACTGCTGCTGGGGCTGGCGCTGTGCCATAGTGGGCTAAGCCTCTACCTGCAACACTGGAAACCCATATAAGCACAGCTAATGGAAGATCTTTCTCTCTATCTCTCTTTCTATAACTCTACCTCTCAAATGGATGAAATAATAAAATTAAAAAAAATAAAAAGAAAGAAAAAAGAAACCATTTTCCCATCAGTATCATTAAACTTTCATCCACGCCTCCTCCAGGAGTTGCAATGTCAGCCATATAGCTCAGCGCTGGGACTCTTGCTGTGTTACTTTTGTCTGTTGTTCAGGAAGGGTTCAACTTCATTCTTCGGGATGTGGACACTGCGCTTCCCAGCAACACTTGTTCAAGACAGTCTTCAGACCCTTGTGAAAATCAGCTGACAACACATGCAAGGGTTTGTTTCAGGGTCTTGGTTTCCACTGCTCCTTACACGTCTGTCTTTACCACACAATTTTTATTATTGTAGCTTCATAGCAAGTTTTGAAATCAGGAAGTGTGTGTTCTCTAGCTGTGTTCATTTCTTTCATAATTGTCTGACTACCCCAATTCCCTTGAAAAATTTTTTAAAAGATTTATTTATTTATTTATTTTCTGCATAGGCAGAAAGAGGTCCTCCGTCCAATGGTTCACTCCTGAAATGGCTGCAACAGCTGGAGCTGTGCCAATCCAAAGCCAGGAGCCAGGAGCTTCTTCCAGGTCTCCCATGCAGGTGCAGAGGCCCAATGACTTGGGTCACCTTCTATTGCTTTCCCAGGCCATAGCACAACCCTTGAAATTTTATATGGACTTTAGAACGAGCTTTTCTGTACCTAAAAAGAAAGCTGTTGGGGGAGCAGCGTTTGGTCTAGTAGTTAAGAGGTCTAAGAGGTCTGTGTCCGAATTCAGAGTGCCTGTGTTCAATTCCTGGCTTCAACTTCCTGCTACTGCAGACCCTGGGAGGCAGTGGTTTGGCTCAAATAACTGGGTTCCTGCTACCCACATGGAGACCTGGACTGGGTTCCTGGCTCCTGGCTCTAGCTCTGGCTGTGTTGGGTATTTGGAGGAGTGAACCAGAGGATAGGTACTTTCTCTGTTTCTTTCTCTACACTTTTGAAATAAAAACATTTTTTTTTTTTGTTTTGTTTTTTGTTTTGTTTTTTGTTTTTTGACAGGCAGAGTGGACAGTGAGAGAGAGAGACAGAGAGAAAGGTCTTCCTTTGCCGTTGGTTCACCCTCCAATGGCCGCCGCGGCTGGCGCGCTGCGGCCGGCGCACCGCGCTGATCCGATGGCAGGAGCCAGGAGCCAGGTGCTTCTCCTGGTCTCCCATGGGGTGCAGGGCCCAAGCACCTGGGCCATCCTCCACTGCACTCCCTGGCCACAGCAGAGGGCTGGCCTGGAAGAGGGGCAACCGGGACAGAATCCGGCGCCCCGACCGGGACTAGAACCCGGTGTGCCGGCGCCGCTAGGCGGAGGATTAGCCTAGTGAGCCGCGGCGCCGGCCCGAAATAAAAACATTTTAAAAAGGCTGTTGAGGGATGAGTGTTTGGTCTAGCGGCTAAGCAGCCAACTGGGACACGCACATCCCATACCAAAACGCCTGGGTTTGAATTCAGATTCCAGCTCCCTGTTAATGTTCAGTCTGGGAGGCAGCAGGTAATGGTCCAACTACTACCCACAGGGGAAACCTAGATCAAATTCCAGACTCACAGATTCAGGGCATTTGAAACAGCAGATGGGATCTGTCAACCTCTCTTGCTCTTTCTCTCAAAAAAATAAATAGAAACTTTAAGAAACCCAATAACCAGTTGTTGGGATTTTTAGAAGGATTGCATGGACTCTGTAATTGCGTAACTATAGTAAGTCTTCCGATCCATGAACACAGGATGTCTTTCTATTTGCTTGTGTCTTAACTTCATTCAGCAATGCCTTCTGGTTTTCAGCGTCCAAGTCTTTGCTCCTTGGTTAAAGGCTGCTGTGAGGGAGCCTGCTCTGTCTCCTTCCTGCACAATCAGGTGAAGAACACAGACCACAGCGGGCTGCTGTGCGGTTCTGCATCCTGCTGCCCTGCTGGGAAACTCAGCTGCAGCGGCATTTCTGTGGGGTCCCTGCACCTGTTGCTTATGAGCAGAGACGACTGCACTTCTTCTTTTCCAGCCTGCGTACCTTCCTGCCTTTCCATGCGCAGCTGCTCTGGGTGCCACACACACTGCCTGGGGAGGTGACTCTGCACACAGACTCGCCAGCTGCTTGTCTCTTGTCAGACACAGGAGCCTGCTAACCATGTACAGTGAAGGCAGCACCAACACCTGAAGACGCTCCATTGAGGAAGGGTCCCTACGGCTCCCTGACATTTATGCAGCCCCGTACCTTTGGCTCCACGAGGGCCCCTGCCTGGATGAGGTACTTCACTGCATCTAAGTGGTTGTTCTCTGCTGCCTCCATCAGAGGGGTCCTCTGGTCTTCCGAGCAGGTGTCAATATTAGCGCCCGCCTACAAAAACAAAGAAGAGTTCAGGGGTATGGGTGGGTACTGAAGTCACCACTTGATGAGGAAATGGTTTACACGCATCCACGTTTCGACAGACCAAATGAGCAACAGTAAAACCAGTTCTACAGACCAAGTGCCCTGTACTTCCAGGACTGGTCAAAGACATGGGCACACCGCCCCCACAGAGCTTTAGTTCAAGCACAACAGCTGGGCTGGAGCTCATTCATTTCTAAACTAACTTGGCAGAAAACTGCACAGCAGTGCGACGGCACCTTTAGGGACAAGGGAGAAGACGAGCTCGCACGGAGGCGCCAGGCCAGCCCTACCAAGGGATGGGGCGCCCAGCTCCAGCTCTGCTGCCTCTTCCTCCAGCTGCTTCAACTCGCCAAAGTGCAAGAGACCAGAAACCAGTGTGCACCAGTCTGTAATGTGGAACAAACAATTCTACCTTTTTCAACAAAGTAACAAACCTGGAAGATGAGTGAACTAGCAGCCATGCAGAGAGAAATCTTTGTTGGAAATGTAAGAAACTCCCAACTTAGGAATGGGCATTTAGCTGGGGTTTGCGGCACTGCACTGGAATGCCTGGCTTCCTGAGAAAGCAGCAGTGACGGCTCAAACAGCTGGGTCCTTGTTACGCACATGGCTCCTGACTCTGACCTGGCCCAGCCTTGCTGACGCAGGTATCAGGAGAGTGAAGCAGTGATGGGAGTGCTGTGTCTCTGCTCACAAGTAACAGAAGGAAGCCTGCACCTTTGCAGTTGCTCGTGTGCTGTCTGACAGGGAGAAAAAATGCCCACTTCCACTGAAGTACAAAGAACTCCACTTTATGAATGTTTAGTATAAAAAAAGTTGAAAAAGGGACTTCTATTAACAGCAATGAAGAAAGAAAAGCAGCACATGTGGGAAATGTTTTTTAAATTAAAGATTTATTTATTAACTGGAAAGAGTTACACAGAAAAGAAAAGAGGAAGAGAGAAAGGTCTTCTACCCGCTGGCTCACTCCCCAGTAGGCCAAAACGGCAGGAGCTGTGCTGATTCAAAGCCAGGAGCCAGGAGCTTCTTCCTGGTCTCCCATGTAGGTGCAGGGGCCCGAGGACTTGCACCATCTTCCACTGCTTTCCCAGGACCTAGCAGAGAGCTGGATCGGAAGTGGAGCAGCTGGGACTCGAACCAGCATCCACATGGGATGCTGGCACTGCAGCCTCACCTGCTACGCCACAGCGCCAGCCCCAATGAGTAATGTGTTTATAAGTGGGCCAGGGTGGTGTAATCTGTAAAGACTCGCCATGACTGAGGTTTTCAAGGGGACCCTGACAGTGACTCAGGCCGCACTCGGGGACCTGCAGGGACACGCAGCAGGGCTGCAGACTCAGGAGATGGAGACAGGAGGCCAGGGTGCAGGAGACAAGAGTAGAGAGGATGAAGGGGCTTTCACTGCAGAAGTTTAAGACTAAAGGCACAGTCAAGCTGTCATTATGTAGCAGCCATTTTTAACAAATAAAGAGGCTACAAAAACACACACAGTAAGAAACAGGCCATTGCGGGGCAGGCTCTGTCCACACCCTGAGCACACAGCCCTGGGCAGCACAGTAGGTGTGAATGCCCAGGGCAGGTCCCTGGGGTCATACCCTGGGCAGCACCACGGATAGGCACAGGATAGTGGGGAGGAACCGGGCCCCTGAGAGGTGGGATGTGGTCTGGGAGGTGCCCAGCCAGCCTGCTGTGGCCAGCCACTCACACAAGCAGAGGCCCCTCACAGACACACACAGCAACCCAGGACCCTGGCCTCCAGAGAAACTGCTCCTCATCCAGGAAAACGTACGGGTGCTAAGAATAAGGTAAAAAAATCTCCAAGAAGGTCAAGATACAGAAGTAAAAGTCAGAAGAATCAAACAAAGAGCACATCAGACACAGGCAGCCGCGATTGAGGTCGTCGGGCAAGTCGGAGTCGGGCCTCACATCAGCCAGAGGCGTGTACACAGCAGGGAAAACTTGTCCTGAAACCTGTGGGATCTGCCTCCTGTGCTCCCCAGACCCTCACTGTGAGTGCAGCTGATGGCCAGGTCCCAAACTCCAGGAGGGAGTGGGCAGTGGGTGCTGCTCTGTGGCGAACAGAAAATCCTGCCAGCATCATGGCCTCTCACCCTCAGCCAAAGGGTCAGCTAACCCACGGCTCTCAGGAACCCACACCCAGCAGGAGAAACCACCAGAAAATGACACGGAGAGTAAAGGGGCAGCAGCAAGGGAGGTGGGAGCAGCAGAGGCGTGGAGCCTGGCTGGACATACTGGAAAATCAACCCGAGTTGGTGGGAGAAGCCCAACAGACTCACGAGGCTGGTGGGCTCGGAGGCAGACACCAGGGTGTGGCCGTGAATGACCCTCACTGCCTCTATGCCCAGGAGCCTGACCATCCACAACTCCAATGCTCACAAAATGCTGGGGCTAACGCCAGGTTGGCCACCACAGGACCACGCTCTGGGAAGTTCTCCACCTGTGTCACACAGGGCAGTGGCCCTGGTCTATGTGGCTACTGAGCACTGGAGGTCTAGTGGAATGCCTGGGGTGTATCCTGCTTGTACCTCACCAGAGCCACAGGTGACCAGAGCAGAGCACACCTGTGCCTCCGTAATACCACTTTCCCCAAACAACCACCACACCTGTGCCACATCAGGAAACCTGGTGGCTGTAAGACTGGACCTCGGACCCATGCATGCACACATTTAGCTTTTTGGGGCTTTGGCTTTTTAACTAAAAGCAGCTAAACACAAAAGAATTCCTAATGCATAGCTCAGCTGGCATAAAGGTTAAAAGCAGAACTACACTTCCTGAGGCTCTTTCCCAGTGCTGAGAGCACAGCCTCACGGGGCGACATAACCGTGAGGGTCACCCCAGCAGGTGCAGTGTTCTGGGGATCACACTGGTTCCACTAAACATGTTCAGGTCTTTTTGTAACTGCAAGTACAGGATGTAGATTGCGGGGGGTGGGGCAGTAGCAGCGAGCACTGGGACATGGGCGAAGAACCTTAAACCCGCCTGCGCCTGTCGGTCAGGCCACGGCAGGAAAGCTGGTGTGCTTCACTGCACCAGTGCTAGATCACTGCAGACAAAGCCGCAACCCTGCAAGACGCCGGCTGAACTCCGCTCACTGCAACGCTGATGCTCTGCCTCGGGGAGGGGCAGCTGCAGGGTTCTGAGCAGATGAAGAACTGAGGCTGGTTATCTGGTGACACCCTAAGCAAACGGCATTTGGGTTTGCAACACAGGAGGTGACCTGGATGGGAGCATCCCCAGCCTGGATCAGTGTGGCTGGGTGTGGAGCAGCAGCTGGTAGTGGCAGCTGGGCTCCATCCCACTAGCATAGGTTGCATTTGGGGACTAGCAGTCCTGAGTTGCTGAGCCTCAGATGGAAGAGGGTGTGACCACGTGGCTCCCTTTCTGTCCTGCGCCCCATGATATCAGGGAGTAATTTGGTACTGCCATCTGGTAAGTGTCTAAGAGTTGAAAAGAATGAAAGCCAGGAGAAGAGTGCACTGTCGGGCAAGAATCAGGGGCTAGGGAGACGGCCTTGCCAGATCCGGAGGCAAACACGCTGTGCTCTGTGGTCTGAGACCTGTGCAGCATCCGTGCAGAGTTCACCTGTTGGTCTGGGCTACTTGTTCTTCCTCCTGTCACAGGTGTGGGACCCTGTAGAGACCTCTACAGGGATGACAGGAAAACGCACCTCCTCTGCGCATTCTGAGAGCCATCCAGCAACTTGCAGACTGAAAACCCACTGCTCTGGAGAAGATCGGGTCCGTCTAACGCGGCAGCCCATCAGCAGTGCCTGCCCCTCCCCAGCCAGCCGCTCACCAGTGCCCCAGCCACGGCTGCGTGTCGCTCCGTCCTGGGCGGATGTGGTTCTTGTGGCATGCTCTGAGGGTGCTCATGATGGAACTGGTTCTTTGGCAGGGCCATGGGCTCAGGAGCTGCAGCCCTGAGGCAAGCCTGCCTCTCAGCTCACAGTGAGGCCTGACCAGTGAAGACACACAACAGAGCCAGGCACTGCTAGCGGCTCTGTCGCGGCCATGCTTCATCTCCCCACAGCTTTCTGGAACGTGTGTGGAATATCTGTTTTTATTTGTGTGTTCACCCTCCATAGGCAGGTCCAGTTGCCAGGTTGCCACACTGTGGCTGGGCTTGGTCGAACGTCTTTGGTGGCTCCCGTCCTCACCTTGCTGGGAGGTGCAGTCCTCTGCATTGTCCTAATCATCTGGTTCTCCGTGTGGTGCAGGAGGAAGAGGAAGGTAGAAGGAGAAATAACGTCCAGTCCTCTGAAAGCCCCTCAATGCGAAAAGGAAGAGCTCGGAAGCACCACAGCCACCTCTGCCAGCGACGCCCAGCACAACCTAGTGTGGGACAAGCTCTAAGCCTGGGACAGGTACGTCACCACCATCAGGCTCCAGTGAGGACCAGCTTCAACAAACGTCATTCACCACCTCAGTTATGTCCACATGAAAGGCGTGAGAGCAACCCTGAGGAATTCCTGTCACTGACGGGGGGACTTTTACAGCTCACAACCCTCTTCCTGGGCAGATAGATATTTAGACCCGACGCTCATCCCGATTGCAGAGGAAAAGTCAACTGTGCCAGCAAAGGCCAGGGAGAAGCGTGACAAGCAGCTGCAATCAACCAATTAACCAATGCAAGGGCTGGGCAAGAACCAGCGGCAACCGCAGTCCCAGACTGGGACCCACAGCACGAAAGGACCTCTAAGGGGAGGCGAAGAGCAAGCAGACCTTCAAGCCAGGGCTAAGAGAGACTCAGCAGGGAGACTCCCCAGGATCTGACCCTGGGCGTCAGGCTGCTCTAAACACACACTTCCTTCTTCACAGGGCTCTGGAGAAAGGTTCAGAATGTGGTTATCAGCCTCTCAGTGCAGGTGGTGTCTTGACACTTTCCAACAAACCAGGTGTGCAGAACATAAGGGGTACAGAAAGGCAGTGTCGCTGGCTGCTGCTCTC